CTGCATCTGCTTCTAGCAGCTCTTGGGATTTGGATGAGACGGTTTTTCATTTCTTATAGTTACTAACATCCATCTTCAAAAAACCTTAGGATGAAATACTACGGTATGAACCTTGTTGACTCATTTTACACACTAACAATATTCTGAACTCCATGGATTTAATTTACCAAAGGTGTCTGGCATTATGTGAGGCAGATTCTGCTGAGTGTCTTCACTTTGGTGTATATTCTTTACTATGCAAAATGTCAGGGGCTTCTATCATTTCTAATGCCCCATTAATATCTAAAATACTGTTTCCCAACTTTAGGTAAATCCAACCATTATGGAAGTAGTATTCTGCTTTCTCCCCCACCCCCAAAACAGGGTCTCAGATCACCAGTGCAATGGTGTGATCCCAACTCACTGCAGCCTAAATCTCCTAGGCTCAGGTGATCCTCCTACCTCAGTTAGTCCCTGGCAGCTGGAACTACAGGTGCATACCACCACACCTGTCTAATTTTCTGTGTTTTTTGTAGATATGGGGTTCTGCCACATTTCCCAGGCTGGTCTTGAACTCCTGTGCTCAAGTGACTGCCCACCTCAGCCTCCCAAAGTGCTGAGATTGCAGGCATGAGCCACCGCGCCTTGCCAAAGCTATGTCATTCTTTTTATATTATTCAGAGAACTAATCAACTTACTAAGTAAAGTGGAGAATTAGCAGCCATGTGACTCACTGAGCTAGTACCTGTAGAATTCAAGTCAGTAAATTCAACCTTCTGTGTAGGCTTAGTGATTAGTCATTGAACTCCTATTATTTGCTGACTGTGAGAAGGATGACAAATTTAAATTCTGGTCTAAGACAATGAATGCGGTCAAAGGTACTTAATTACTCCTAGAAACTCTCATCAACAGGCATTGGGAGATCCTAGAAACTCTCATCAACAGGCATTGGGAGATCCTAGAAACTCTCATCAACAGGCATTGGGAGATCCTAGAAACTCTCATCAACAGGCATTGGGAGAGTATGAACCGGCATTATGACTGTCATAGATCACAGTCATCAGCAACAGTTAACAATGACTGTGTCTCCTGAACATGGTGTCAGGAGCATGACAGCCAGGAGGCAGGGCAGGGGGCCAGTTCTACTCCTGACCAGCACTAACAGAAGTCATCCGGCCTCATGGTCTGCACTTTACTCATTGAATAGCAGGGAGTAGGAGGGGGTAATTATTGAAATAACGTTTATAGGGACATTTTATAAGTGTTTATACCTCAGGGCACAAAAAGCCAATATTTTTATAATAAAGATAAGTAAACAAAACATAGTGGGTGTTTTTATATGGTTCTGTCTACTATTGTCTAGGAATAGCTTCTTTGGTAAATATATATGTATGTCTATATTAGACATAGACATACATACAGAATTTTTAAAATTGTAAGCCTTCATGATAAGAAAATATAGTAGTTTGGACAAATGCAATTTTTTTTTTTAAGATGGAGTCTCCCTCTGTTACCCAGGCTGGAGTACAGTGGGGCCATCTCTGCTCACTGCAACCTCCACCTCCCAGGTTCAAGTGATTCTCCTGCCTCAGCTTCCCAAGTAGCTGGATTACAGGTACATGCCACTGCACCTGCCTAATTTATGTATTTTTAGTAGAGACTTGGTTTCACCATATTGAACAGGCTGGTCTTGAACTCCTGACCTCAGGTGATCTGCCCACCTCAGCTTCCCAAAGTGCTGAGATGATAGTCATAAGCCACTGTACTTGGCAACAACTGCAATTTTTATAGATCTGGGGATCCCAGAAAAACATCCTGAAGCTTCAAAAATGAGTTTTAAATGTTTCAGTTTTCTGATATTGATAATTCTGGTCCTGCTCTCTGGAGATATAGAATGCTACAGAATAAAATTAGGAGCTTTACTTTATTTCAGGTTTGTTTTTCTTTTAGTGAGTCAGCAAATTTTAAAAGTGAAGAGCGGTAGATTGTGGAATCTTAGGACTTTGGCACATGGACTCTATTCCTGTCATTTAAAATGTTGTTTAGTTATTCAAAAAGAGGGAATTCTCCCAGATCATTTTATGAAAACAACATCATCCTGATACCCAAACCCGGCAGAGACTCAACAAGAAAAGAAAACTTCAGGCCAATATCCACGATGAACATAGACACAAAAATCTTCAATAAAATACTGGCAATCCGATTGCAACAGCACATCAAAAAAGCTTATCCACCATTACCAAGTAGGATTCATCCTGGGATGCAAGGCTGGTTCAACATATGCAAGTCTATTAACGTAATTCACCACATAAACAGAACCAAACACCAAAACCACATGATTATCTCAATTGACGCAGAGAAGGCATTTGACAAAATTCAACAGCCCTTTGTGCTAAAAACCCTCAATAAACTCGGTATTGATGGAACATATCTCAAAATAATAAAAGCTATTTATGACAAACAAACAGCCAATATCATACTGAATGGGCAAAAACCAGAAACATTCCCTTTGAAATCTGGCACTAGACAAGGATGCCTTCTCTCATCATTCCTATTCAATATAGTACTGGAAGTTCTAGCCAGAGCAATCAGGCAAGAAAAAGAAATAAAGGGTATTAAATAAGAAAGGTGGAAGCCAAATTGTCTCTATTTGCAGACGTCATCATAGTATACCTAGAAGACCCCATCGCCTCAGCCCAAAAACTCCTGAAACTGATAAGCAACTTCAGCAAAGTCTCAGGATATAAAATCAATGTGCAAAAATCACAAGCATTCCTATACACCAATAACAGACTTAAAGAAAGCCAAATCAAGAAAAACTGCCATTCACAATTGCTACAAAAAGAATAAAATACCTAGGAATACAACTCACAAGGAATGTAAGGGACCTCTTCAAGGAGAACTACAAACCACTGCTCAACTAAATAAGAGAAGACACAAACAGATGGAGAAACATTCCATGTTCATGGTTAGGAAGAATCAATAGCGTGAAAATGGCTATACTGCCCAAAGTAATTTACAGAATCAATGCTATCCCCATCAAGCTACCATTGGCTTTCTTCACAGAACTGGAAAAAACCACCTTGAACTTCATATGGAACCAAAAAAGAGCCCGCATAGCCAAGTCAATTCTAAGCAAAAAGAACACAGCGGAGGCATCACACTACTGGACTTCAAACTATACTACAAGGCTACAGTAATCAAAACAGCATGGTACTGGTACCAAAACAGAGATATAGACCAATGGAACAGAACAGAGGCATTAGAGGCAACACAACATATCTACAACCATACAATCTTGGATAAACCTGATGAAAACAAGCAATGGGGAAAGGATTCCCTGTTTAATAAATGGTGTTGGGAAAACTGGCTAGCCATGTGCAGAAAGCAGAAACTGGACCTTTTCCTGACACCTTACACTAAAATTAACTCCAGATGGATTAAAGACTTCAACATAAGACCTGGCACCATGAAAACCCTAGAAGAAAATCTAGGCAAAACCATCCAGGACATAGGAGTAGGCAAGGACTTCATGACCAAAACACCAGAATCATTGGCAACAAAAGCCAAAATAGACAAATGGGACCTAATGAAACTCCACAGCTTCTGCACGGCAAAAGAAACAGTCTCTAGAGTGAATCGGCAACCAACAGAATGGGAAAACATTTTTGCAGTTTACCCATCTGACAAAGGGCTGATATCCAGAATTTACAAAGAACTCAAACAGATTTACAAGAACAAAACAAACAAGCCCATTCAAAAATGGGCAAAGGATATGAACAGACACTTTACAAAAGAAGACATAGATGAGGCCAACAATCATATGAAAGAATGCTCATCGTCACTGGTCATCAGAGAGATGCAAATCAAAACCACATTGAGATACCATCTCACGCCAGTTAGAATGGCGATCATTAAAAAATCTGGAGACAACAGATGCTGGAGAGGATGTGGAGAAAAAGGAACACTTTTACACTGTTGGTGGGAGTGTAAATTAGTTCAACCATTGTGGAAGACAGTGTGGCGATTCCTCAAGGACCTAGAAATAGAAATTCCATTTGACCCAGCAATCCTATTTCTGGGTATATATCCAAAGGACTATAAACTGTTCTACTATAAGGACACATGCACATGAATGTTTATCGCAGCACTGTTTACAGTAGCAAAGACCTGGAACCAACCCAAATGCCCATTGATGATAGACTGGACAGGAAAAAGTTGGCACATATACACCATGAAATTATGCAGCCATCAAAAATGATGAGTTCGTGTCGTTTATAGGGACATGGATGAATCTGGAGAACATCATTCTCAGCAAACTGACACAGGAACAGAAAATGAAATACCGCATATTCTCACTCATAGGCGGGTGATGAACAATGAGAACACATGGGCACAGGGAGGCGAGCACTACACACTGTGGTCTATTGGGGGGAATAGGGGAGGGACAGCAGGCAGGGGGAGCTGGGGAGGGATAGCATGGGGAGAAATGCCAAATGTGGGTGAAGGGGAGGAAGGCAGCAAATCACACTGCCACGTGTGTACCTATGCAACTATCTTGCATGTTCTGCACATGTACCCCAAAACCTAAAATGCAATTAAAAAAATGTTGTTTAGTTAATTCATATTTATTTATCAGAACATTCAAAATTAAAATAGGGGCTAGGCGTGGTGGCTCACGTCTGTACTCCCAGCGCTTTGGGAGGCTGAGGTGGGCAGATCACTTGAGGTCAGGAGCTCAAGACCAGCCTGGCCAACATGGTGAAGCCCTGTCTCTACTAAAAATACAAAAATTAGCTGGGCATGCTGGCAGGTGCCTGTAATCGCAGCTACTCAAGAGGCTGAGGCAGGAGAATCACTTGAACCTGGGAGGTGGAGGTTGCGGTGAGCCGGGATCGCGCCACTGCACTCCTGCCTGGGCAAAAGGATGAGACTCCGTCTCAAAACAAACAAACAAAGCAACACAAAATTAAAACAACATAGCCTTACAGTTTTCAGGACTGGTAGGCTACACACACCAGGAGAGCATGGAAAGGTTTATTGATCACACGTTGAGGCTCTCTGAGCAGAGCAGGGCAGGACCCCAAGCAGACCCAAAGTTGGCCAAGACTTCAGAGACAGGAGCGTGGCTTGGGGTTCACCGTGGGACTGAGTGGAGGGTTCTCCTTTGCAAGGCCCAGGACTTCCGTGGTTTGAACTTCCTGCCAAAGGAACAAAAAAGTGAAGAGTGGTTGCCTTGGGTGAGAGAATGGTGGTTGGCAGTGGGCAGCATAGTGGCCCGACTCACTATACTTTATATATTTTATTCTTCATATTGTTGTAATAATGAGTCTGCGATGCAGAATCAATTTTTTAAATGTTTGGTCATTGGCAGCTTCCAGTCACCACGAATCCTACTCCCCCGTCTGCCCCGCGTCTGGGAAAGCTGACACAAAAGCGCGGGTTCTCCCTCCTTTGGCACGACCTGCATGGTGTTATTTGGGAGACGGAGGCAGGAGAATTGCTTGAAGCTGAGAGATGGAGGTTGCAGTGAGCCGAGATAGTGCCACTGCACCCCAGCTTGGGTGATAGAGTAAGACCCTGTCTCAAAACAAACAAACAAACACATCATTGCAACAGCCTGTCTCTGGTCTCCCTTCCAGTCACACCTGCTTCTAAGTAACACTAGAGGACAGAGATCTTTCAAAAACACACACGATTGTGTTGACTTCCTGATTAAATGTTGTCAGGGAATCTCCTTTTCCACTTAGATATGGTTCAAACTACTTAAATTGATTCAGCTTTGGGAGGCTGAGGTGGGCAGATCACAAGGTCAGGAGATCAAGACCATCCTGGCCAACATGCTGAAACCCTGTCTCTACTAAAAAATACAAAAAATTAGCTGGGTGTGGGGCATCTGAAAAATCTGTCTTTGGCAGGAGTCTTGATTTTCCTCCCCAGTCCTCTCCGTTCTGTAAGCCACTCAACTGCTCAAAGTTATCTTTGAGTTCTTTCTCTCAGCCTCCACTTCCAATCCATCTGAAGTCCTCTTAATTCTATCTTTAAAGCTTCTGCCAAACCTGCTCATTCATTTATGTTTTTATTTACATGACCTGCCCAAGTCACCATCTTCTCTCTTATTCCTACCCTTGGCCCCTCCCTAATTCACAGCAGCCAAAAGAGTCTTTAAAAGATATAAACCAGATGTATCTCTTGCTGGAAAATGCAATGATTTCCCATTGCTTCTTTTTTTTTGAGACAGTCTCACTCTGTCACCCAGGCTGGAGTGCAATGGTGTGATCTTGGCTCACTGCAACCTCTGCCTCCTGAGTTCAAGCGATTCTCCTGCCTCAGCCTCCTGAGTAGCTGGGACTACAGGTGTGTGCCACCATACCGGGCTAATTTTTTTTTTTTTTCAGTAGAGACGGGGTTTCACTGTGTTAGCCAGGATGGTCTTGATCTCCTGACCTCCCGATCCACCCACCTCGGCCTCTCAAAGAGCTGGGATTACAGGCATGAGCCACCATGCTCTGCCTATTTTCCATTGCTTTTAAAATGAAATCCAAAATCCTTACCATAATTTGGTCGCCCTGTTCAAACTATACAGAGCCTTACTACCCTCCCATTCACCATATCCTGAGAGCTGGTCATGTTCTTTCTCATTCATGGAACCCAAGCCTCTAGGACAGTGCCTGGCACACAGGAGACACACAATAAATGTTTGTTGAAAGAATGAGTAAGTGAGAGACTTATAAGACCCTTCCTGGTCTGGTTTCTGTTTCTGCTGTTTTCTTTCTACCCCGCCGCCCGCCCCCATGTCACAATCTATGTTCCACCAAACGCTAGGAGCAGAATGAAACCAGGCAATGTCTCTCTTACAAACACCTTGATGGTGGCAGCAGAAATGAGGTGAGAGAACCCCAGGAGGTGCAAACTCAATGACAGAATGAAGAGTAATTAACTCAGCCATCCTTTCTCCCTGCATGGACTTCTTGGGCTCCTCTCAGCTCACATCTTGAGGTTTTTTAAAAAAAATTGTAGTATATGGCCAGGCGCGGTGGCTCACGCCTGTAATCCCAGCACTTTGGGAGGCAGAGGCGGGCGGATCACAAGGTCAGGAGATCGAAACCATCCTGGCCAACAGGGTGAAACCTGTCTCTACTAAAAAAAATACAAAAATTAGCTGGGCATGGTGGCAGGTGCCTGTAGTCCCAGCTACTCAGGAGGCTGAGGCTGGAGAATTGCTTGAACCCGGGAGGCGGAGGTTGCGGTGAACCGAGATCACGCCATTGCACTCCAGCCTGATACCCTGCAACACAGCAAGACTCTGTCTCCAAAAAAAAAAAAAAAAAACAAAAGGTAGTAAAATATAAATAACATAAAATATACTATTGTAGGCATACAATTTAATGGCACTGTCTATTTCCAGAATTCTTTTATCTTCCTGACGTAATTCAGATGTTGTCCTCCATAAATCTCATGTGGAATTATAATCCCCAGTGTTGGAGGCGGGACCTGGTGGGAGGTGATTGAGTCATGAGGGCTGATCCCTTGGCTGGTGCTGTCTTCATGATACTGAGTGAGTTATCAGGAGATCTGGCTGTTTACAAACACGCGGCACCTCCCTCCTCTGCACTCATTCTTGCTCCCCCTCTTGCCATGTGACAGGCCTGCTCCCACTTCATCATCCACCATGGGTAAAACATCCCTTTGGCCTCCCAGATGCCGAGCAGACACCAGTGCCTTCCCCTGCAGCCTGCAGAATCATGAACCAATTAAGTTGCTTTTTTTTTTTTAAATAAGTGACCCAGTCTCAGGTGCTTTTTTTATAACAATGCAAGAATGGCCTAATACACGTCTCAGACAGAAATTCTGTATCCACCAGACAATCACTCTGCATTCTCTCCTCTCCTCAGCCTCCAGTAACCTCTGTTCTACTTTGTCTCTATGAATTTGCCTATTCTTGACACGTCATAGAAATGGAATCATGCAATATTTGTCCTTTTGTGTCTATCATCTTTCACTTAACATCATGTTTTTTAGGATGTGAGGGCGATCTGGCTGCAACATCTGTCACCCCATTGATCGCCAGAGTTGATTCGGCTGATCTGGCTGGCTAGGCGGGTGTCCCCTTCCTCCCTTATGGCTCCATGTGCGTCCTTCCCGAAGCTGCATGCTCGGTCAAAGAGGATGACCATCCCCGGTAGAGGAGGACCAGTCTTTGGTCAAGGGTGTACCAGCAGCTGCGTTCCCCTGCTAGAACCTCCAAACAAGCTCTCAAGGTCCATCAGGTTTTTTAAGGTTCATCTATGTCATAGCATGTATCAGAATTCCTCTCCATTTTATGGCTGAGTGATATCTGAGTTTGTTTTTAATTCATCTGTCCGAAGAATATTAATTGAATACTTTATCCAATTAATAGTGCTTTATCCAAGCACTGTTCTAGGCTCTATGGAGATAGCAATGAGCAAAAGAGACAAAACTATTGCTTAGTTCTTACAGATTAACAAGTGAATATATACTATATCAGATGGTGACAAGTGCTATAGAAAAAAACCTATATCACAGAGAGGAACTGCAGAGGAAGAAGAAATCTGAGGCAGAGTGGAACCACTCATGTAGTTCCTTGGGAGCTAGAGTAAGGATTTTGGATTTTACCCTGAAATAAGAAGTCAATAGACACTCTGGAGCTGGCATGGGTACAGTGGCTCACACCTATAATCCCAGCCCTTTAGGAGGCCAACACGGGTGGATCACTTGAGGCCAGGAGTTCAAGACCAGCCTGACCAACATGGTGAAACCATCTTTACTAAAAATACCAAAATTAGTTGGGTGTCATGGCACACAGCTGTAATCCCAGCTACTAGGGAGGCTGAGGCATAAGAACTGCTTGAACCCGGGAGGCAGAGGCTGCAGTGAGCCCTGTGATCCAGCCTGGGCGAAAAAGCAAGACTCTGTCTCAAAAAGAAAAGAAAAGAAGAGAAAAAGAAAGGAAAGAAAGAAAGAAAGGAAAGAAAGAGAAGGAAAGTCTGCAGCTGTACAGTGACATTTTCAAGGATAACCTTGGCTTCAGTGTTGAGATGAGACCATGACAGGAAGCATGGCAAAGGGAAGGAGAAAGACCAGTGAGGGATGTGCACTAGTCAGGGTTCCCCAGAGAATGTGTGTGTGTGTGTGTGTGTGTGTGCGCGCGCGTGTGCGTGTGTGTGTGCGTGCGCGCGTGTGTGTGTGTGTGTGCACGTGCGCACATCTGTGTGTTACGTAGGGAGAGGTTTACTTTAAGGTATTGGCTCATTTAATTGCGGAGGGTGTCAAGTCCGAAATCTGCAAGGCAAGCCAGCAGGCTGGAAATTCAAGTAAGAGTTGATGTTGCAGTCTTCATTCTGAAGTCCACAGGACGGGACAGGGAGGTTGGAAACTCAGTCAGGGTTTCCATGTTGCAATCTTGAGGCCAAATTCCTTCTGAGGCAGAATCTGTTCCCTGCCTCTTGTTAGCCTCCGGTGGTGTGCTGTCAGTCTCTGGCATTTCTCGGCCTGTGGATGCATCACCTCAGTTTCTGCCTTAACGTGTCATTCTCTTTGTGTGTATATCTGTGACAAATGTCCCCTTCTTATATGGACACCAGTCATACTGGAATAGGGTGGCCTTTATCTTACTAGTTACATCTGCTGCAATGCTCTTTCCAAGTGAGGTCATATTCCAAGGTACTAAGTTCTAGAATTTTAATATTTAAATTTGGGAGGTGCAAGTCAACCTATAACACAGGGTGACAGCTGTGAATACGCCATAGCTGGATTTGGCAGAGAATTCTAAAAAGAGAGTCGGGATACTCCAGTGATGCTTTTAGCTTGAACAAAAGTAATTAAGTTGCCATTTACTAAGATGGGGACAGCTGCAGGAGGAGGAAGTTTGGAGAATAAAAAGGTTTCCAGTTTTCATATTATAAGTTTTCAAAGCACCCTCTCCAGCTGGGCATGGTGGCTCATGCCTGTAATCCCAGTGCTTTGGAAGGCCAAGGTGGGAGGATCACATGAGGTCAGAAGTTCGAGACCAGCCTGGCCAACATGGTGAAACCCAGTCTCTGCTGAAAATATAAAAATTAGCTGGGTGTGGTGGTGCATCCTATAATCTCAGCTACTTTTGGGAGGCTGAGGCAGAAGAATCGCTTAAACCCAGGAGACGGAGGTTGCAGTGAGCCAAGATCGCATCACTGCACTCCAGCCTAGGCGGCAGAGTGAGACTATGTCAAAAAAAAAAAAAAAAAAAAAAAAAAAAAGGGTACCATCTCCTACCCTAAGTCCCTTACTTGGCAGTAATACCTGTGTTGAGAAGAGAGCACCCAGTTATCTCTGCAGGGCAGACAGAGCCTTTGAGTGTTTCTCTTCCCTAGACATACAAGTCATCTAAGCAGCTCTCGTTTCTGACCCACTCCACTTCCCTTTCCAGGCTTTCCTCCCTTGTTACCATTGCCTCAATTACACAACATCTCTTTATGACATCTCCACACAAGCCTTAGGCATAAATACATTTTTTAAGTTATTAAAAGAATGGAACAAGTCAGAACTGATTATGAGCTGCAGAAATATTCTTTTTAAGAGTTGCACTTTCATGAGGAACACTGAGATTCTGAAGGAACCTTAATACTAGAAACATATTATGAAGAATTGTGTTCACCTCAAATTAATATTAACCTGTGGCTCTAATAGCCAGGACCTGTTGGCTTATTTATATTGCCACCTTTCAATCGGCATAATTTATGGTCAGTGCAGGGAAAGATTTGCCTTTATAGTTTTCACTGTCAGCTAGATTCTTCTATCCAAGTGGAAGAATTACATTTCCAAGTAACAGAAAGTTAAAATGTATAATATGACTAAACCACAGCAAAGTGGAACTTAAAAATAAAATTCAGGAGGAAATAGGTCATTTCGTAAAATTAAAACTGACTTTAAATTCTATTTTAACTGTGACTTTAATTCTAAAGGCGCTCAGAAATTTTTGATACAGGTGTCGTTTATTCTACTACGGATATTTCCCTTGTGAAATGCTACTATTTGAGAATAAATACAAACCTCCCATTTGAAACGGCCAGGACATGGTTCATACAGATTTGGGCTGTGGAGATTTTCGTCTGTGTAAATGCACTCTAGTTGCTGTTCAGTAGCCAACATGATTGATTAGGGAAGTGGTTCAATCAGAATAAAACATTCCCTAAGTCTTCTGGATCCCTAAGTACGAGTGCTTCCAGGAATAAGGCCCTGATGATTCCATTTTGTGGCCAATAGTATTGAAACTCTCAGACCGTCAAATAGAATCTGGCCTAAACCGAGGACAAGGCTCTCTGAGGAGCAAGACCTGCGGGCAGCTGAAAGTCACTTTCCTCAGATCGAATTCTATGTCTACACTGATACTCTTTGGCTCTGTCCTTGCCAGAAGTGCGGAAGGATTCCAGCACCCAACACCTTGCTTGATTCAGCCTCAGCTGCTCCCCTAACTGGAGAAGCCGCTGGGTCCCGCGCCAGGCTCGCAGTGGCTGCGGGGCAGTAGGCGAGCAGGCGGCTGATCCGGAGGCCAGTGTGGGGCCGGCAGGCGGTGACTGAGCAAAGGAGCTGCGTTTTGTTTTTCTTGGATCAGGTTTGGGACTTTTATTCTGTCTGAACATGTCCACGACTTCCCTCACAAGAGTCTCTGTCTTGAAGCACAGGACCGAAGCAAAATGCCTAATGAAGCGTGCCGGAGGAAGGGGCAGGGGCGTGCAAGTGACTTGGGAAGAAGGGCTGGGGCGAGGGGAGAAGCGAAGTTACGAGTACGCACGTTCTCACAAAACCGTGTGAAAACGTGAGCTGGAGACGCCAAATTCTGCGACCCACGAAAGGCCTTCGGAACTCGCTCGGGCTCCTCGAAATTGGGCGTGCGTCGCAGAAGAGTGCTGGGCGCTCGCTTTCGGCATTTCGGCTTTGTTCAAGCCCTTGCGTGGGATCGGCAAGGTGGTGGGTGGGCTCAGTCTGGCTTTAGGTCGCTGGGAACCCGGCTGGTCCTCTCTCGACTTCTTAGCGTAGGGTCCCTCCGGCCGGGGCGCCCACGGCCGCCGAGGTTCCCCACCTCGCCGAGGGCCCTAGCTCCGGAACGGGGCGCAGTCGCGGCCGCGGGCCCGCAGTCCCCCGCAGGTACAGGCCAGGACCAGTTGCCCCGCGGAGGCCGAGCACTCACGGCTGCGGCTGAGCCTCCACCCCAAGCTCCAGCTGGAGGAGCGCTTCCCCTGCCCTCCTCCCAGGCGAGACGAATGCTCCGAAGCTCATTCCCTGGGCGCCAAGGCCGATTTCCAAGTCGCCCACTTTCCCCCCTCGAGCGAGCAGTTGGCGCTTCTCCAGAAGCCTCCACGGCTTCCAGTTCCAGCCCCTAAAATCAAAGCACCTTGCCAGAAAGCGGGGGAGGGGAGCAGCTGAATGGAGAGAGTGAGAATACGAGGAGAACGACCCCATTCTCCAGGAAAAGGTAATGAGGGGAAGTGAAACAGTGTGAACTTACTCGGAAATGCAAACGGAGTTCAACTCACCCGGGAGCAAACAAACGACAGAAAGACAAATCAGCCACCGCACTCCCGGCTTCCCAGAAAGGGCCTCATGAATGAGAATGGGTTGCTAGGTTTCCTTCCCTCTCTCCTGACGATCGCTTCCCACAAGATTTCCACCGCCGAAAGAAAACAGGCCGGGCCTGGTGACTGCGGAGTGAGGGAACCGCGCCAGGCCCGGGAGGCCGCCCGCGACCGCGACCGCCTTCAGGACCCTGGAGAGCGGCCGCCGCGCCCCGGGGACCCGCGCTCAGCCCAGAGCGCCCGCCCTCGCCTCCCGCGCCGCACCACCTCGGCACTTTTTTCGCTGCTTCCCGCCTCCACCTTTTTCTTCTTTCTTCTTTCTTCTTCTTCTTCTTCTTCCTCCTCCTCTTCTTCTTCTTCCTTCTTCCTTCCTTCTTCCTCCTCCTCCCTCCTCCTCCTCCTCCTCTTCTTCTTCTTCCTTCTTCCTTCCTTCTTCCTCCTCCTCCCTCCTCCTCCTCCTCCTCCTCCACCTCCTCTTCCTCCTCCTCCTCTTCCTCCTCCTCCTCCTCCTCCTTATTCATCCTTTTTTTTTTTTTGGCAACCACCGCTCTTGTTTTTCACAGACAGATTAAATTGTTTTTTGTTTGGCATGAGGGGGTGTTTGCATTGGCCGAGCTAGATTCCGGTTTGTATTTACACTAAACGTTAATGTATCAAGAAATTGAAAGCTTCTCAAAGATGAAAGCCTGAACGAGGCAGGTGACCTTAAAAAGCCACTGAGTTCAACTCCTTTATAAATGAACTCAAAAAATAAAGATACATTCCTAAGATTAGCCACTAAGTGAGTGGCAAGGTTGGGTCTAGAACAATGGGCTTCTGACTTCTAAACTAACACTTCCCTCCACTTTTCAAGGGGAAAAAAATACCTCTTTTCTTAGGCCTCCTAAGCAACAAGTGGGAGGTGGAAAGGCCAGTGTTCCCGAGAATAAGAAGGACATACGGAGTTTGGAAAGGGGGCCTGCAAGCGTTCACCTGTAGTAGCGGCCCTAACATGGAGCCCTGGTGTCCCCTGCTCCAGCAGCTTACCCACAGCCACACTGGCCAGTCCCTTCCTCCAACCAGCCTGTGGAGGGTCTGGGGCCCGTCAGTCACCTTCAGCCACTATCTGAACCCCCCATAGACAACTACCTGAATGGAATCTAGTAGCCAAGTCCAACTCTGCCTCTGGCAAGCAGAGCCCTGGACACTTAGTGAGTTCGGAAAGGGCAGGAGGAACAAGGGAAGACCAGAGAAGGGAGGGGAAGAGCAACAGTGCAAATGTGAACCAAGATTTTCATCCAAATTCTTAAGAACCAAGAGATGTGGACACAGACCCTTCTGTATACTGCATGGCACATTCAGCGCACATAGGAATCCCCTAGGAATCTTACCATGCAGATTCCGATGCAGGAGGCTGGGTGGGGCTCAAGAGTCTTTATTTCTAACACGCTCCGTGGTGTTGGCGAAGCTGCTGGCCCACGGACCACACTTGAAGTAGCACGGAGTTAGGAAAAACAGGAGTGGAAGGGGAAAGAATCTGAACGTAGGCCCTTCCTTCTGCTTTCGCCGACCTTCTCTTGCACCCCCAAAGTAACGCCTCAAAATTCTGTAGTACAGAGCCCCGTCTAAGCGGCCAGACACCACAGTAACCGTCTGCTGGTTTTGTTTCTTTCTCCCCGCCCCAGCCCTTCACGCCTGCACAGCTCCCAGACTCGCCCGCTGCCCCGAAGCTGCTCGGCCTCCTTTCTAGCCCGCTTTCCAGCCTCGCAAGGTTCTTCTCTCACCTTCTCCGGCGACCCCTTCCCGAGGCTTCCCAGAGGCGCCCGGACTTCTCCCCACTGCTTTCCGCCCTACCGGCCGCCCGGCTCTCGCGGGGGCACGAGGAGCTGCCAGGCCGCCTCTCGCTCCTGCTCGGGGCGGGTCTGGCACTGTCTGGCCTACCCTCGGGGGGTCGCCAGCTGAGGCCCGCCCGTCCAGTCACCAAGCCCAGGGAAGAAGACGCCACCGCTGGGCAGAGCTCGCCCACTCCGGTGAGTACCATGGTCGCCACCACGCCCCACACCCAGCCTCCCCAGGACAGCAGCCTTTCCCACCTCTTCCTAACCCCAACTGACCCACTCCGCCGGGGCCAGCAGCGGGGAGGGTGGCAAGGTCCGGAAGGCCGGGACAGGGCTGTGCACGTCCTAGGATTGGACGCTGGCGGCTCTCGGGACACCGCCCCTCCCCGCAGGAAGGTACTCTAAGCTACTTTTTCCCGGGCCATTTCTTTTCCAGGGTCCCAGAAAACACGAGGGAGCCCTCGCTCTTCCCCGAGGTTGCTTTTCAAACTCCCGGCGTGTGGCTCTCCTCTCCCTACTCCAAGCCTCCCCCAGACGCGCCTCCGCCGGCTCCCCGCGCTAGCTCTCCCACTCCCTTGCCCTCTCGGCTGGCAAGGGAGGAAATGACGTGATGTTGTTTTTGTGTCAGGTCAGTTTCCAGCTTCAGCGTAGCCCTCCCGGCTCCGGGGAACTACCCGCGCGGCCCCAACGGGTCCCACCCCCCAGGGGACGCCGCGGGCTACTGGGACTCGCGGTGCTGTGAGTCCGGAGAGCTGGGCGGCTGGGTTCCCCCGCCACGCTCTGATCGACTCCTCTCCCGGGATTCCGAAGTCCCTGGAGAAGGGGGCGCGGAGGGCGACTACCGAGGGTCTCAGCAAGATCCGGGGTCCGGGGTTAGTTCCTCCCCTTACCCCCAGTTCGGTTGCCGATTGGGGCCTCCGCGCTCCCGCTGGCTGGGAGGGGGCGAGGGCCGCTTTCCAGGGCGGGAAGACCGGAGGCGGAGGCTGCGCCAGGGTGGGGCGGGGACAGAGCTCCGAGAGGCGCTCCGGGCCGAGAAGATAGGGGGGCTGCCCTCCAGAGGCGGGCAGTCCACCGACGCGAACGAAGCTCCGGGTACCGAGCACTCCCTCCGCGCTCGCCGCCCATCCCCGCTCCCCCCTCCCGCTCCCTCCATTCACAAGGTCCGAGCACGCAGTCCCGCACACTCGAGTCGCGCTCGGCCCCCGCGCGCCGAGGGAAAGCGATGACACGGGGGGCTTCGCGGACGCCCTCCACGCGCGCCTGGCTTCGCATCCACACTCTTGGGACTTGCTAATCTGAGGCTGGAGCAGTGGGGCTGCGGCCGGGGCGGAAGTCTCGCCGCGCGTGGGGCCTCGGGGGTACCCCTCGCCCCCGCCTTGGTGGAGTGCGCCGCCGCCGGAGGGAGGCGAGACGTGGGATTGCCCGGCCGGGTACAGGGAGTGAGGGGGCGGAGAGAAGGCAGAGCAGGGGAGGAAGAGGACGGGAGTGGAGGGCTAGAGCCGAGATCGCGAGCCAAAGGAAGGGGAAAGGCGCGGAGAGCCGTCGCCGACGTAGAGAGGGCAGCCCGGGGCGCGGCGATCGCCCAAGGCACCCGCCGGACGCATGCGCACGGCGGACGGAGGCGAGCCGGCCGGGGCTTCCCCTCCGGCCGGCGGGGTGGACGGTGGGCTCGTGAGTATCCCGGTTCCTCGACTTCTTTTTCTTCCTCTCGGGCTCGCTCTTAGGCTTCGCGCTGGGAAGTGGCCGAGGCTGGGAGGGGCGCGCAGCTCGTCGGGACCTCGGGCAGTCGCCGTGGCTGCGGGGCGGGAACGGGTGCGAGTCGGGGGTTCCTGCCCGCAGCATTAGTGCGAGTTTGGGGGAGTGAGGCTTGCGGGTGCTTCGCGTCGGAAGAGGGGCTTCGCGCCACCAGGACCCATTTGTCCCGGGTCTGCCAGGGCGTCCGCGATCCCATCGTTGCGGCCTCGGGTCGGTGGAGGACGCGGGAGTCTAGACTTCAGACCCTAGAAATGGCACTGACCGTGACCACCCGACGCATGTGTTGGAAAGTCCAGGCGGTGGAAGCGTCGGCGTTCTCACCCGATAGGGAGAGGGCCTGGAAGGGGCTGGGTGCCCGAGGCCGGAGATTTGAACGCCGCTGGGAAGGAAAAGGAAACCCTCCCGGAATCGCAGCGCCTCCTTTTAGGAAAAGTGCAATAAGAGCGGGGCTACCGAGGGGCAGGGTGGAGAAGTGGAAGCCCCACGCGTGGACCCTGGAGGGCCAACAAGGTGTGGGCGTTCACTCGGGGCCTCTGTTCACGCTCTCTAAAACCAAATGAACAGAAGTGCCCTCCACCCTTCGCCTGCGCCAAGGAGGTTAACGTGCGGGCGCCGCGGAGATTTTCCTGGAGCAAACCCGGGCGCTTCATCTTTCGCACTCTCGGAGCTGCCTTGGGAAGTGGCAACAAGTCTGGGCGCCGGGACTGCGGAGACTGGAAAGCGGGGGGCGGGGATTGGAGGTGCGGGATGCCGCGGGGGGCTGAGGTGGGCGTTGGAGGGGAGGGTCTGTGTGCGCTGCTGTCCTCCTGCGTTGGGGGAGCGGACGGGCCAGGGGCCTCTAGGGAAGCGGCGCTCCGGGACAGGGGTGGCTTTCCCGGCTTTGTGCGCCGCGATGCCCCCACCCAGCTCCGGTGGAGGAATGGGTGGGGGAGGAGCCCTGAGAGAAGCTGCTCGCCGAGAGTGGGGTGGGCGTTTTGGGGAGAGGTTTGCTTGCGCTGCGGCCCTCCCGCTGCTAGAGAGGTGGGCGAGAGAGAGTGGGCCCCGGGAGGGTGTCTCTAGGCCCCGTGACCTCCCCGGCTCCCTCCGTGCTTGTGGCGAAGGGGCTTTGGGATAGGCGGCGCGCGGGCACTGAGGTGCATCCTGAGCGTCCCGGACTTGACTGCGTCGAAGGAAAACCCTGGCGACCAACCCCAGCAACAGGGATGCGGCGGTGCAGAGCGCTCGGGGACAGGCGAGGGGGATCCCGGGGAAGCCGCTGCTGCCCACAGGCCACCGGCAATGCACAGGCTGGAGAAGGGAACGGGGTTGACAGGATTTTGTCCCGAAGATGGAGAGCGCTAGAGGGGAAATCTCCTCGATTCCTGTCGGTCTCAGAATTTGGCAAAAGGCTATCGCTCTTTGTCGATCTCCCCACATTCTCCAGTTTCCTGGCCGGTTGGTGTCGCAACCCCAGCCCCGGTGCCCTCAGTGCCGGCAGGACCCTCACCCACTGGCTAGCAGAATCAGGCACCTGCACGCGGGTTCCTCATTGCTCCGGAGTGTGGGGAGCAAGGGGATTCTGCATCAGTCTCCAGCCGCCCTCCTTGGGTTACAGGTGACAGGGCCCTGGCGTGGCTTGGTTTCATTTCACTTCTAGTGGCTCCAGGCCGTGAAATTGACTAAACAAATGTTCAAGTTCACAAAACGGTCTGACTTCCTCCCCAAACTTTACAAGGGCATTTCTAGTGAAATTACCATCTGTAAGTTTTTTGGCACAACCACGGTTTGCAATTTATTATTTTCGTTAAAATATTTTATTGCTCAAAACCTAATTTTCTATTGGGCCTCATCTTGTTTATCTTCTGTTCATTAAGTGACATCTTTCTTATCACATGTTAGTAACGCATATCAGAGCTGCCTAACCGATGAGGGTCTTGAGCTCTGTAACTGCTTTCACATCCCAACCTGACTGCATAACCCTGGACTAGTTTTCCTCTCTGGGAGTGAGTTTCATCATCTGTGAAACGGGGGTGATACCTCTGCTGGACACGGTGGCTCACTCCTGTAGTCTCAGCAGTTTGGGAGGCCAAGGCGGGTGGATCACCTGAGGTCAGGAGTTCGAGACCAGCCTGTCCAACGTGGTGAAAACCCATCTCTACTAATAATACAAAAATTAGCCAGGCGTGGTGGCAGATGCCCGTAATCTCAGGTACTCGGGAGGCTGAGGCAGGAGAATCGCTTGAATCTGGGAGTCAGAGTTTGCAGTGAGCCAAGATTGAGCCACTGCACTCCAACCTGGGCAACAAGAGCAAAATTCTGTCTTAAAAAAAAAAAAAAAAAAAAAAAAGACTACCTACCTAATGGGCTAGCTGACAGCATTCAGTAAACTAATAACATAGAGCTCTTATAACTGCTTGGTACATACCAAGGAACAGCTGTTATTACTATTATTATACTGATATAATTGGCTAGACTTCAAACTATAAGATTAGGAACAGAATGCATATTTATGTATACTATAAAGAGTATGCATAATGAAAGAAACACTGTCCATCATCAAAATTTTAAAAACGGCCACTTTTTTTTTATTTTTAGACTGGGTCTCATTTTCTCGCCCAGGCTGGAGTGCAGCGGCACAGCCGAGACCCATTGCAGCCTTCAACTTCCAGATTCAAGGGATCCTCCCACTTCAGCCTCAGGAGTAGCTGAGACCTAAGGTGCCTGCAACTGCACCTGGCAACATTTTTCTTTTCTTTTCTTTTCTTTTCTGAGACGGAGTTTCCCTCTTGTTACCCAGGCTGGAGTGTAATGGCGCGATCTCGGCTCACGGCAACCTCCACCTCCTGGGTTCAGGCAATTCTCCTCCCTCAGCCTCCTGAGTAGCTGGGATTACAGGCACGCGCCACCGTGCCCAGCTAATTTTTTGTATTTTTAGTAGAGATGGGGTTTCACCATGTTGACCAGGATGGCCTCGATCTCTCGACCTTGTGATCCACTCGCCTAGGCCTCCCAAAGTGCTGGGATTACAGGCGTGAGCCACCGCGCCCGGCCCACTGTTTTCATTTTCTTTTTTTTTTTTTTAAGACGGAATTTCGCTCTTCTTACCCAGGTTGGAGTGCAATGGAGGATCTCGGCTCACCGCAACCTTCCCCTCCTGGGTTCAGGCAATTCTCCTGCCTCAGCTTCCTGAGTAGCTGGGATTACAGGCACATGCCACCATGCCCGGCTAATTTTTTGTATTTTTAGTAGAGACGGGGTTTCACCATGTTGACCAGGATGGTCTCGATCTCTTGACCTCGTGATCCACCCACCTCGGCCTCCCAAAGTGCTGGGATTAGAAACTTGAGCCACCGCGCCCGGCCTTTTTTCATTTTTTATAGAGACAAGATCTCGCTGTATTGTCAGGGCTGGTGAACAGCCTGCTTACAAGAATCTGAAAATGTACCTTAGGAGCTTGAAGTGCTAACTTGTCGGAGACTGTAAACGTTTTAGCTGAAACACCCCTTATATAAATACTGAATGATGAAAATCAGGTTTCTTATTCCACCTCCTTCATTTTACAGATGAGGAAACATTGAGAGAGGTTAAGGGTCTGGGCCGGAGGTCTCCCGCTAATTACGGGCCGAAAGAGAATGAGGACTTCTGACTCATTCCCCGGGGCTCTTACACACCAC